CTTTCCTTCCTGCTTTTGTGTAGACTTCTTGGCGGTACAGCAGGGAACTGAGTACTTTTATTTTTTTTCTTCCCCCACCCCCCCGCCCCCCCGATCTATTTTTCAGATGTCGGACACTCTCAGGATCACCCAGACCAAAGAACTTTAAGAAGGTTCATTTTATCAAGAACATGCGGCAGCACGATACCAGAAACGGCAGGTACTGTGCATGCAAAGGCTGCTTCTGCAAAGGCAATCCATGGGGCTTGAGGGCCAGGGCAGGGTCAGCATCCCAGTGCAAGAGCACAGTGTGCCATTTCCACTCACCACATATGTCCTAACGGCCTTTAAAATAGACTGTGAAGGTTCAGGCTGCAGTGCACACTCCTTCCTCGCGGGAAGTACGTGTCGATGGAAGTGCTAGCCCATAGATTTCAAGGCCTGTGTCTCCTTAATACAAAGAACTTGCATAAAAGGAAAATCTGTGGTGCTGTCAGAGTAAACTAGGCATAATCTGGTTGCATTTCTTTGAGGGTGTTGCCAGGTGCTAAGTGGAGCAAATTTAGCAATGGTTCAATGATACTTCAACATCTATTAGTGGATACACAGTGCCTGTTGGTAAATGCACAGCCAGGGATGGTTGTGGCAAGTTGAAGTGTGGGATCCTGGTTTTCCTGGCAGATGTAGGCAGAGTGGCTGCCGGGGGATATGTGAGGGGTGCAGCTGTGGCAGCAGCACACCCCAAGCTGGAATGTGCACTGCCCGGATTACAACCATAGGCATCAGTGGGACAGCAGCAATCCGCTGAGACTTTGCTTCCCGCAAAGGCATGATGCCTGCTGTGGTGTTCCCATCTGCAAAATGGATTATTTATTGCAGTATCATCCAGCTCAAAAGTGAAACTAGCTTTCTGCTTTTAAAGAAGATATCTGCCCTCTCTGATTTTTCTCAAGACAATTTCTCCATGTGCCTCATGATTTTATCTTTGTCCTTCCAAACCTGAGTAAGTTTGAAATAGGCTATGTGAACAGGTTGCATGTAGACTAAACTGTCTCACTGAGAGTTGACCCTTGCACATACCTGTGCTCATACAACTGCCATGGCTTAGAACTGCATACGTTCCTGTGGACCATGTGCGTGTGGCCTTCGATTTCCATCAAACATGGAACCATGTCGGTAGAAATTCTGACATTGCATTGAACCACAGGTTTTATTCTGGTAGGTGTTACTTGACTCAAGAAAACATTTCTCCACTTTTATTCTCACATGTAAAAGTAAATGCAGTGAAAGGTAGTAATCAACATAAATGTTGCAGAAGGTGGCCCTGAGAGATTTTAAAAACAGCTTTAGAAATAGACGCACGCAAAACTGTTGCCTTGACTATTGTCTGACTAGCAGCTGATTATTGTCCTTACAACAAATACATGTGGAATCAAATGCTGAAAAGCAGCCCTCTAATTTTAGTCCATTTTGTGCATAAGTAGATGTATGCTTGGGGAATTTCTTACAGCAAAAAATACTTGTAAGGTATTATGCAAATTCCATAGAGAACGAGTAAGTTCTGAGATGTGTATGTAAAATCTGCCTAACCTTGATAGAATATTATCTGCAAAAAGAATGAATAAATATTGGATCTGTAAACTCTTCTCTCCATGTTTTGAAAAAGAAGTGCTTGCAGCATATGTGCAGCATTTTATCTTAATTCATAGATTAGCCATTATGGCTGACAGTATAACTGAATATTTTTCTTGCTAAAAAGCAGTGGGGAAGCTTCTGTTATTCAACTGCCTTCTTATCTTTATCAACAGACACGGTTTTCCAGAATATTTCCACAATTGTAATAAAGATCTCTTTATCTAGAATACAGATACAATAAGAATAAGAGACATAGTTTTAGAAAACAGTTTTCTTCCTATGGTCTTAGAGCCACAATGATGTTAGCTAGAAACAAAATGTGAAGTTAACACTTCGTGTTACCTCCATGTTTAGCAGTAAGTACTCTGGGTACAGACTGTTTTTTCGAGGGGTCTGGATGCAGTTGCAGTCACTGAAGTTAATAGGCATTCTGGATGAAAAGGGCCTCTAGAAATTCAGGTGGATCTGCTTTATGTGTTCATCGTAGAATCAACAGTGTTTCTGAGCACCTTAAGAACTTTAAAGCTGGTTACCTCTCCAGTTCCTTGTGACATGGAGGAGCACATCCTTCTGGGGCTCCCTTCTATACCTGGGACCTTGTCCCATGTAGCTCATGCATGGTCATGCAGGATGCAAGCACTGAGCTGGGCTGGAGCTGGGCTCTCTTGAGCTCTCCCCAAAACCCCTGACCCTTTTGGCACAGCATGTCCGTGTTTCACTTAACTTGAGGAACCAAACTTTGAAAATATCTACACAGAATATATTTCTGGGTGGTAAATTCGGTGACTGGGCTTTAAAATAGTGCATTCAGTAAATGTTTCACTGGCTTCTGATTGTGTCACAGCAGAGAAAACTGAAGTGTGAGTGATATCTCAGGGTTCCTTTCACTGGTAACTGCCCTTATTTGTGGCTCTCAACCTGTGAAGTGACATGTCCTTGTCCTGTGGCACTGAGAGCTCTTTGCCTCTCAGCCTCAGGGATGACACATGTTGAGTGACAATGCTCTGGGTCCAGCCTTTGGCAGTCCAGCAACAAGGCAGGTCTAGCTATGGTTAAAATTAGTTCAGCTATTTATCACAGAGAAAAACCACCTATACACAGACTGGAATTTATCAGCAAGTCCTTGTAAAGCTTCCTGTTGATGGTTCTGTGCACTGGTTAAACCGGTTTCTTCGGATTTGTAGGACGTGGCTTATTAAAGGAGCTGGAAAATTAGGTTTCCTAGACTGTGTTATCAAAGCAGTCTTGTAAAATAGCACAAAATAAATTTTCCTGTTTTGACAAAGGCAAGTCAACTCTAACATACACAGTAGCAGAGGTAGCCACCAGCATATGGTTTCACTGACTTTACTCAACAGGTTTATTGGTAATACCCTCCATAAACTGAAGATTAGCAAAAACAAGCCACTGAAACAGCAACCTGAGCCAGCTGAACAATTTGTGGTGAGAATGGGACAAGAACATTAACAAGAGTTACCCTCTACAGCAGATATAAAAGCTGTAAACCAATGTTTCCTTTTCCACCCCATGCCGTTGCTTTCTCAGTTTTTTTGTTAGTATACACATCTAAGCAAAGGCCAGACACCACCATGAAAGGTCTCTTTTACTTCCCTTTCAATTGTGGAAATGCACACATGTGCAGTCTAAGAGGTCAATTGTTTGCAGCATCCTCACAGTTCATACTTACTCTTAGCCACCTTCCAATAGCCCCAACCTGAATGTGTGAGACACCAAAATGAGGACTGCTACCCAGACAGCATCCATGGTTTGTATGTTTGCCTTTGCATGCAGGGAAGCAGAGCCCTGGCAGTCAAACGTCATCAATCAGGAATGAGAAAAGAGGCTACAGTATTCCACATGTGTATGGTACATATGACATTGCCTGATCACAGCCTTTTGTTGCAACACAATCAAACCTAGACAGAGATGTTGAAGAAAACAAACATTATTCTTCAAGTCAAGCGAATTATTCTGTTGAGAACTTTGTGCTCAGTAAGTTTTTGTGTAGCATACATCTCATGAAGAAATTGGTTTTTACATCATCAGACCTTTGCACGTTGTCAGAACTCTCTTGCCAAAATAGTGGTTGCTCTGAACCATAGTAATTAGTGCAACTCTCTGGTGAAATGTGAGAATTAGAGAGTGAAAATCTTTTTGTTGAAGTGATTTTAAACATGTCTAGGTGGCACAGTTGGCATCAGGGCATGTAAACCCACTCTCAGGCTGTTCCTTATGTCAGAAGTAGCTCATTCAGAGCTGCACAGGATCATAGATGTCCTTTGTTGAGGAGTTGAAATCCAGGAAAATGGTTCTCTCCTATAAGCAGTAATTCGATTTTCTTGAACAGCAATGGACTTCCACCACATCATCTTCTCCAAAGCATACTTTTTGACAAGTTTCTGGACTTTCTGCACCAGCAAGTTATTGCAGGGCTTCAGAATTTTGTTTGTTTTCCATGCATACCATCAGTCCTCTACATAAAATGCCATTTTATCCCTCTGTGATGAGCTTCTGATTACTGCCTTCCCTTCTTCTCTTCCAGTCCAGCTCCTAAGGCTGTTTTGCATCAGGCACCTTCAGCAGCTCTGCAGATGAGGTTTTGTGGTATCCTGGCAATGGAGGCCATGGGCTTCTCTGACACTCTGCCTGGGAGATCTTTATGTAAAGTAGGTCCCCCAGTTTATGGAAAGAGAGGCAATACTTGGGTCCCAAGGGAAAGAAATCTGAAAAAAAATAGAGGCTGGGCTGGTGCTTTTTATTTCCTTTCTTGTCTGATTCCTTGTGATACACACAGTTCTGTGGTAACTTCCTACTGTTGTCTCTGTTTGTGGACATGGAAGCACCAGTTTGTTTTTCTTTAAATATTAAGAGTTGGATGTTTTTTTTAGGGAGGTCTGGGCGTTGGTGGAAGAGCTGTATTTCCAGAAGCAACCAGAGGGAGGGGGGTAATATGCTTAGTGGGTACTGTGGTTTTCCGAATTCAAAGATGCTTTCTGATGTCAGCCTCGAAACCTGTGCCAAGTTTCATACATCAGCAAACAAGGCTTTCAGTGAACAAGCAAGCTGTTGTGAGTAGCAACCATTCAGCAATAAGCAGTGGCAAGCACAAAATTAATCATATGCCAGGGTTTTTTCGCCTGTGGATTGCCTTTCTTTGAGAAATGAGATGTGAAAAAATTACTCCCTCCTGCTCTGTAACTTGCTGCTGCACCATGCCACCATCTTACAGAATCTGAGATGTTTACCATAGGTAAGGAGTATTACAGCATTCAGACAAATGATGAAATCATACTTTATCTCCTGCAGGAGAACTTCCTGAAGCTGTGTGTATATTTATTATTAGAAACCCTCCTTTATTAAAGGCTAAATAACCCCTTTGCTTTTAAACATGCCTCTAAGGAAGAAAATAGGTTTACTGTAACAGAATGGTCCAGGAGAAGGAAAATCGATCATTCTGCTTTTTTCCAAGCATTACGTGCAGCAGCTCTCTTGGGGAGCTAAACCTTTTCCAAGAATGATGACTAAGCTGGGGCCTTAAGGAAATAGTGTTTTAGTAACAGCATAACTGGTACGAGATTTATAGGCGCAAATGATGTTTTACAGACAAAAGAATAAAATAGCTTGCTAGGGTGTCTTGTCCAGCTTTGACCAGCACAGGACAAAGAGTGAACATTTCATGTGAAATCCTCACATACAGATCTGTGGAACACAATGTCAAAAAAATTAATGATGGTGAGCAGAGCAAGGAACTGCAATAGCCCTGACAACCAGCATAGCAGTAGGTCCTAGCGTTTTTCCACAAGTAGAGGTTTTTAGAAAGGTAACACATCAGTAAATTCTAACACTAATCAGATCAGAAAATAGCACAGATTGCCATCACTGTGTCTTAGAGGAATTTGACATGAAATAGCCTGTTTGTCAGCTTCGGAGAAAAGAAGGGTCAGTTGTACAATTGTACAATTCTCGGTGTCCTGAAGATAATAAGGAAAGTGGGTATATCTATAAACAATCCATTGTTTGTTGTCACTTCATATCTTGCACCTTGATCAACCCTCTCTTGGCTTCTTGCCAATCTGCATGTCCCAAAAGTATAATAATGATGGTTTAGGGGTTGTGGTGGTAGTGCTGGGTGGATGGTTGGCTGGATGATCTTGCATGTCTCTTCCAACCTTGATGATTCTATGATACTACTGACAGTCTATGCTGTTTTATGGAAAGTGGGTATTGACCTCAAGGCAGTTTTGATGTTCCTTAATGATATGTCAGAGCTTGATGGCTAAAGGCAGTAGCGTGGCTGTATAACAGTGAGGTTGCTCCAAGATACTTGATTTAAAGAAAATGAACTCTATCCCAGCTGAAACCAGGACAGTATCACACAGTGACTTTGCAGATGTTGTAGAGATTTGGAGACTGGTTAAAAATACAAGGCATTTGCACTAAGGCTGTCCTGAGTTCTGAGATAAGCTCTCTGCTGGCAGATAATGCATGCTTTCATGTAGCCAATTCTTGAGCTAACTGCCTATAAGGAATGAAGGCAAGCCATGCTTACAGGAGGAGGGATTCAGCCCTGACAGTGACTGAGACAGACGTGGTGCTGGAGGAGAAATGGCAAGAAACTAGGATCACTCATCCCTGAGTGTCAATGCAACATCATAGCCAAGAGGGCTAATGTGAGTATTGGGCACAGAGGTTGGCAGGGTGTCAGGGCTAGACATTGATCTTAAAGGTAAGACTGAAAGATGTGCAACTGCTTAGGGCAATGATACTGCCCAGAGACCAAGAAAGAGTGATGGGGAAACTCCGGAGAAGACACGGAGGAACCCTGAAAACAGTGAAAGATTCTGAAAGCTTATGACAACAGCAAACTTAGGCTTCATCCATGAACCAGGATTTCATGAACAAGAAGCCAAAAATCAAGGGTGTCCTTTGGTTTAGCAGAGAAAGGTCATAACCAACAGCCAGAAATTCTTTGTCCAACAAACGCAGACTCCAAGTCAGCCACAGAGTTGTGGTGTGTATCACTGGTACTTGCTGGTGTCTATCACCTGGGTTTCTCCTGGATTTGTCTGTTTAGTATGAGCCATCACAGTGAGGTGTCAGAACAGCCCTGTGCCTCTCTGGGTGGACTCCTTTCACTGGAAAAGGATCTGTTCTGGATTCCAAGTAATGTCTTCCTAGAAAGCCTGTAGAGGGGTTGGGACTCCACTACTCAGTTACTGCTCGTTTGCTATGGCACAGGCTTCAGCACTTCTGTTAAGACTCTGTAGCGCGATACCTGTGAGAGAAAAAAGAGGAGGGAGAAATCATCCGTTATGGAAGTTTTATAATCACGAATTCCTCAATGGTAACATCTGTCGCTTTGCTTATTGTGGTGGGATTTTAAAATTTTAGTCTTTGATTTCTTTTATTTTCTTTTATATTTTAGAATAGTCCTTATCAGCAGCAGAAGATCCTTCTGTAGCATATTTTCAGTGCTGCCATATCGAGACTGTACCCAAGTCGGGTATGTATATTTATACATGTACTACATAGTCTTTCTGGGCCTGCATGTAGACCTGATAACAGACAACAGCATGATGGAGGCTAATGCTTTTACATACCTGCTCTGAGAAGAGATAAATACGCTTAGATATATTTGCTTTGTGGAACATTATCAGGTTAAAACTACAGCTGTCAGTCCCCAGTTTATTTGTATGTGTTGTGGTATGTTTGATTATTAAGCTGGAGAAAACTAGCCCCCTGAAATTGACATTCTTAAAAAATGCAGGTTTTAGTGTTTCTTCTGACTTCACTCATCTGTGGCAAAACAGCCAAAAGACAGCACAACTTTAATTTTATAAGCCATCTTAGCTTTTTTATTCTCCCATGAAAACATGGTGCTACTGTATCTAGATTTCCAGAACTGTAAAGAAACATTTGGATTTAAACAGAATACCTTTTCATTGTACATTTAGCCATTGGTCAGATCATTCAGTCAGTGAGAACAGATTATTTTGGCCATAATACTGTGCAGGTTCATAGCTCGTGTAAGCATTGTCCCTTGCATGGTGTGATGTGCTGAGACACTATACCTCTGACAGAAAAGTTTTCCTCAGAATGAAGCAGTTCTCCAAAGACTGAGAAAGCTTTTTGCTCTTCCACTGATACTTCAAAAGTGGAACAAACTGGATTTGGCTGGAAGATGTTGCCTGGCAGGCTCTGGGACACAGCTTGCTGGGTGCCTTCAGAGCTGCAGCACAAGGCTGAGAAGGGCAGTGCTGGTGGGCAGCTGCTCTCTGCCTCTGGGGCAGAGGAGTGAAGTGTGTCCACTGTGGCCACTTGCCAGGATGCTGAGAAGTCTTTGTAGTTGGGGTTGACTAGTGACTGCAAGGCACAGATTTTGTGGGAAATAGTCAGTTGATAGACTGAGGTGGGTTTGAAAGAGCTAGAAATCATTTAGAGTTGAATTTACCACTGTATAAAGGATGAAATTGGCTCATAGTTTTCTGCCATCTCTTTGGTTCTGGAGAATGATTTATCACAAGTTGCTTGTGCATCAGTAATTCAAAACAAAGGGAGATTATTTTTAATGCACAAAGGAAAGGAAGCACCTTTGTAGGAGAGTTGACTTGTTCTCCTGTCTCTTACAGTAAATTTTTTCCCTTAATTAAACTGTGATGACACATCAGGCAGACACATTGACAGACTGGCAGGCCTGTTCATTGTTCTTGAGTGTACTGCCATTCATTTGTGGTCATCACCCTGTGGAAATTGCCCCTATTGGAAATTGAATATATTTTGACATGCTGATGACTGGTTATATATACCTTCTAAATCATAGCAGTAATGAGCCTTGCTGCAAAACTAAGTATTATTTCAGCATGTCATGTCTTGTACCGTGCTTGTGCAGCAAGAAGGGCATGGACTGAGAAGCAAGTGCCAGGACCCAACAATCCAGCCCTGTTCCCTTTGCTAAAAAGCCAAGATTTAAAAAAAGTGCCCTCTTGTCTTTCTTCCAGAGCATCAGAGGAAGAGAGAAACAATTCAGTGTCACCTCCTTACAGGAACAGCTGGTGCAAAGAACAGATGAGGCAGTATAGCGTAAACTGTAGCCACTCTGTTCAGTCTGTGCAGTACTTACTTACTTCATTGCACATTTTGGATGTGTAGTAGGAGGGGGGAGAGACACTGGGTACCCTTTTGAAGTACTGTAGTGACAGCATCCCTTAGCTTTGCTTTCAGTGAATCCCTGGATTGCTGATGCCTGTCCCCAGGCAAGACGTCCGAACTGCTTTACTTTCTGCAAACATTGCTGAATTGTTTCTGAAAAGAAGCAGATCATTGCAGGGAAACAAAGGCACACCTGCAATTTGACTGGAGAAAGCCCTGTCAGGAGTGGAAGAGTAGGATGGATGAGCAGGCTGGGGAAACTGTTCCATGTGAAAGGAGCCCACAGTGGAGCTGCTGCTGCTTCTCCACCTCTGCTCCGACTCACGGGCACTGGTCAGTGCAGAAATCTCCAGGCACAGCTGTATTTTGTCAAGGTTGACAGTCTCCGTTGTACAGTAGGCAGTACAGAAGAGCTGTTCTGTATTGATGCTGTCAGGTAATCTACAGGAGCAGATCCATTATTAAAAATCTGTGAAAGACAGTTCCTAAAGTCACAGCTGAACTCTGTGTACTTGTCCAGGGTGGATAGGGCAACACCACCCCTCACCAATGAGGTGCAAGCAGTGTACTCTAGACTGTGATCCTCACTTGCTCACCCTCCATGCAGAGATCAAACTACAACAGCAAGAACCCTCCCCAACCCCCCAGATTGTGTTTTTAAGTGGCTGTATAAATACCAGTGGAGGTCTGGGGCTTGCAGGGAGGAGAGCCATAGAAGCATGGAAGAGGATGAAGCTTGAGGTGTCCCCTGGAATGTGTTTCCAAATCCTCTTCCTCAGCAGCAGGCTTCTGAAGGGAGACCTACTCCAGAGCAGTGCAGAGGCCATCAGTAGTGAATGGCAGATTTTTCTTCCTGCAGTTTCAAAAGGCCATTCTGGTAGTACGTACTGAGGCTGAGAAGGAAGGTCACCATGTGCTGGGAGAATTACTTTTTCTAGTTTTCTCTGTTACATTGAAGAAAAATATAAAGGTACAAAGCAGAGAGTGACATGGGGAGAAAGAAAGTCATGAACAGAACTAACGATTTGAATGTTCTGTCCTTGAAATTTTGTCCATACCTTGTGTCCAATGGAAACCTGATGCTTCAGCTTGTAATGGTTTTGTCCAAGGGAAAAGAGGACAATAAAAACTACATTGACAAAGGTTTAGAGATGTGTTATCTCCTACTGTAGTCATGGAGAGCCAGGTACTTTTGTGGGTCCGGGCCACAAATTCTCTCCAGATCCCACTACATTAAGATTGTGGGCATCTTTGCCAGTGGCATGAAGACAGCCACAGCTTCACCTGTTGCCATGGCCAAGAGTAGGGTAATGGGCAGGACCAGAGCTTGACTTTCTTCCCTCATCTAGACCAGTAGAGCAGCTGCAACAGCAGATACAGCCAGGTGAAAGCAATGTAAAGGCTACACTGCAAGTCAGGTGGGTGCCGAGCATCTTGCCTGCTGGCATCCCTTGACCCCCAGGATCCCTTGGTGTTACGGCGCAGTCATCAGACCCTACATAGGGTTTAGTAGTGTCTAAGGGGAGTGATGTAGTGATGCAGGTTACCCTGTACTGGGAGCACTGTAACAGTGTTATTGCCTCTGTTCTTATATTAACAGACAACACACAGAGAAACTGTCATTACCATTATAGGCTGATCTCCAGAGGCAGGTAACACCTATAGGATCCAGCAGCACTGATTATGTTGTCTGAATGTTTGGCTTCAGTAATATCTTTATGACATACGAAGTCATTGTGTGATGCACAGATTAGAGGCAATGCAATTCAAGTGCTAGTGGTGTTATTGCAGGATTGGTTTGTGCAGTTGCTACTCTTTTTTTTTCTTTTTTTTTTTTTTTTTCCCCCAGTGTATTGGAAGCCTTCATGGCTAAAGGGTATTCATGATCTGAATTTTTCTGCTGAACAAAGTCATGCTAACCTGTACAATTTGCATGTTCTTACCATGCAGAGATTTTGCAGTAATGTTTACAAACAAAACACATGCATGAGGAGATGCAACACTGACTACTGAACCTTCTTTGTGGAGAGATACTTGTGCTTTATAAAAATTGTTTCACCTCTCCTTTCTCACCATTCACTGATGTTATACTGTGGATCATGTTGACACCCCAGTATTCTTTAATAGTGCTTACAAATTGAAGCATCATATATAAAATTATGCTAATACTATTCTTTAAATCCTTTTTCTTTAAATATAATACTCCAAAAGATATAAGAGCTACTTTGCAAAGGGTATCGAAACTGGATTTCTGGCTTGATGTCCACTTCACATCTTCCTTGCCAGAGATGAGAATTAATCCCCATCTAGTTCTGCAGATGGGCAGAAAATGGGAGGTAGTGGCCTGCCATTTTTATCAGAGGTGCACCTTGTGCATCTCCTGAGCTTCTGTAGCACACTCCTCCTTTGTCAGATGTTGGTTGTCACAGTTGGAAGCTTGTGGAATTGAACCTTGATAACTGTTCCTCTTCCAGGACAGGGGAAGATGCCTCAGGGCCACAGCAGGTAGCTGCCCCACCATGCACACAGTCAGCACAGTCATGTATGCCCACATGTTGACCTGCTCTGGGCCCTCAGAGGGGATTCAAGTCATGGCAAACCAAAGAGTGAAGCTCTTTGTGGGTGGATTAAACAAGACTCGAAGCAAACCATCTGGAGCCCACTTGGAGATGGGCTCCAGATGGTTTGAGGTGAATTGGATTTCAGTCCTTTGAGACAGGAGCTGGGGATCAGACACAGAATATATCAACCTTTAAGGCATTAGGCAGGTCATGCTCTGGGCACTTGAGTCTCCAGAGAGGAACTGTTAGAGCCAGGCTCTCTGGGAATGTGCCTGCAGGTTTCTGCCCACTCCCTGGCATGGTCTGTACAAGGGCACTCTGTGAACCCACCATGTGACCCCAGCCAGGGTGGAGAAGGACCAGGTTCAGTTCTGCCTCCAGGTAGCTACCCTGGAAAAGGCAGATTTCCTTTACAGGGAAGAAGGGAAGCCATTCTCTACTGCTTGCCTGCTCTTGGAGCTTCTCTAGGCACGACTTTCCCATCAATGTCCAGGGAGATGGTACAACTCTGGCAGCCCTCACAGATGATGCTGGAGTCGCTCCATGTGTCCTGCAGGACATGGTGACCTGCAAAAAGGCTCTGCACATGCTTGCAGCCAAGTGAGAGCAATCCAGTTCTCATTAGTATTTTAAGATGCCTAAGCAGTTTAAGAAAAAGGGGCAATGGCAACGTATGTGTGTCACTGTGAGAGGTGTTATAAAGGAGGAAGAATGTACTGTGTTGTCTTTCCCCCCAGGAGTTAGCTGGGTTTACAGTTCTGTTGTTTGGTTTCTATGCTTTGGCATGCACCAT